GCAAACTTCTGGTATGAACTCAGTTTACTGTGGCTTTATGTCATCGCGCAGAACAGCGGGTTGTCTCCGCGCAGCCATGCTCGGCCCCGCCGGCTCCGCAGCCCGCGCCCGGGCCCGGGGCGGCGGGGGACGGCGCGCAGCGCGGACACGCAGCGGGAGCGGCGCGGGTGCCCTCTGCCGCGACCCCGGCACCGCGCTCCGCCCGCTGCCCTCCGCGGCCTGGCCCGGCCGCCCTCCGAGACGCGGCCGAGCCCTTCCCCCTCCGCACGGACGCAGAACTTTGGGGACCGGAGACTTCACTCCGAAACTTGAGTTTGCAGGCGACCCCGCTGTGAGCGCGGGCGTGCGTGGGGCGAGGAAGTGGGAGGGCAGTGTGAGCCCGGCGCTGGGATAGGCTTGTGTGCAGATGCCGCAAGGAAACCTGCTGTTTTGTGCGATGACATAAAGCCACAGTAAACTGAGTTCATACCAGAAGTTTGCGCCCCGAACGCCATCTACAAGCAGAAGACTGGCTGGCCTTCTGGCAAGAGGGTGCTCCCACCTTTTGCCGTGCACATTGAGGGAAAGGAAGTGTCTGGTGCTACGCTGGGTTGGCTACCAGAGACCGAAAAGCTCCTGGCTACTCCCCTTTTCTTTTCACTTTGTAGGTCTTTTTAACAGCTACGTGAAACACGTAGGTCGAGTTGCCTTCACGCCCCCATTGACTTCAGACTGTCATGGCAATGGAAAGACTTGTGCACACCTGTTAGGAGGTGCCGGAGTTAGAATCTCGGAAATTCATACTTTCTGCTCTGAGACCCATCCTGGGCGAGTTTCTTAACTTGCTAAGCGTTAGGGTTTTTCGCCTTGTAAAACAGGGCTGCAGAAATCGCTGTGAGTTCAAAGTGTAACTTGTAATCCTTAGTAACTGTATTTTGATAGTTATGGTTACCTTTCTGGAGATAAGGTTGAGGATTATTTTATGGTAAAGGAGCAAAGCTAGCTTGTACTCTTGGCATTTTGTTTTGTTTTGATTTGAGACAGGGTCTCACTTTGTAGCCCTGGACACCTGAAACTCACAGTGGTACACCTGCCCCGGCCTCCTGGATTGAACACGTGGGGCATTTCACTTGGCCGAGCCTTGAAGTTGCAATGCCTCTGGTACT